ATCTTATTGTCTCCGACACACCTACCTCCATTATCCCACTCACTGAATCACTCTCATCCTCTCCTGCGCTGTCCCCTCCACACCTCCCAAGCATGTTGTCCCTCTCCAAGGACTGGTCCCTCCTTGCAACATGTCCAAAGTATGTCATATGAAGCTTCAGAATCCTTGCCTCCAAGGAGCAGCCTGGTTTAATCTTCTCCAGGATGAACCTGTTCCTTCTTTTAGCAGTCCACAGTATATTCAATACTCTTCTCCAACACCACAACTCAAAGGCATCAATTCTCTATCATTCCTAGTCATTGTCCAGCTCTCTTATCTATGGCAAGTGGTTGCAAAGACCATGGCCTGTATCAAGTGTACCTTAATCTCTAGACTAACATCATTGCTCTTCGGTACTCTGGAGAGGTCTCTGACAGCAGACTTTCCCAAGGTAATACGTCTTTTAATTTCCTGGTTGCTGGTGCCAAGAATGTGGACTGTGAAGCCAAGCAAACGAAAGCTCTTTACAATCTGAATCTCTTTACCATCCATCATGATGCTGCCAATTGGCCCAATGGTGAGAATCTTTGTTTTCTTGATATTGAGCTTCAATCCATATTGAAGGCTGCAGTCCCTGACCTTCCAAAGCAAGCACTTCAGGTCCTCCTCAGTTTCAGCAAGCAGGGTTGTGTCATCTGCATAACACAGATTGTTGATGAGTCTTCTTCCAATCCTGATGCCACATTTCTCCTCATAGAGCCCAGTCTCCTGGATAATCTGTCCTGCATATAGATTTCAGGTATGGAGATAGGACACATCCTTGGTGTACATCCTTCCTAATTTTGAACCATGCACTGTTTCCTTGCTCTGTTCCAATGCCTGCCTCCTGGTCCAAGCATAGGTTTCATATCAGCACAATCAAGTGTTCTCGGATTCCCATTCTTCCCAGAGTTAGACAAAGTTTGTTGTAGTCCACACAGTCACACGCCTTTGCATAGTCAATGAAACACAGATATACATTCCTCTGGTAATTCCTGCTTGGCTGCTTTCAGCCAAGATCCATCTAACATTAGCTACAATGTCCCTAGTACCACGACCCCTTCTAAACCCAGCTTGCAATTCCGGCATTTCTCTGCTGATGTGTTGTTCCAGTTGTTTTTGGATAATCTTCAGTAGAATCTTGCTTGCATGAGATATTAATGATACTATTTGATAATTTCCACACTCTGTTGGGTCACCCTTCTTTGGAATGCGAACAAATACAGATGTCTTCCAGTCAGATGGCCAGGTGGCTGTCCTCCAGATATTGACACATTATTAACACCTAAAGTCTATAGTCTGTTTTTATTTCTTTTTCCATTTTTCACCCCATCCAAATGTGTGGTGGTGTTATTTTCTGATAAAAAGAGCCATTTATCACACTGAGGGTGTACACAATTAACAGGCCCATTCTTGCTGAGGTTAACCTCTCTCACCTGGCCAAGGGAGTATTGGTCACACGTCTCCACTGTAAGGTACCTTCTCTTCTTCCTTTCTGTACACTACTGTTTGGAAAAATCTCACTATGTGTAGCCCACATTTAAGGACTGAAAGGTTATACTCCATCTCCTTGAGGTTAAAATATCTATGTCAGTGATGTGCAATTTGGTACCAGTGATTTGTCTATTGTTTCCAATGTATTAAATATATTTAGTAACTTTGTATGCAAACCAACATAAAAGAATTTTTATTTAAGAAAAACATACATAGTCTCAGTCCATCAGTGTGGACTAAGACTATGTATGTCTTTTTTTTTTAAATGTATTTTATATTGGTTAGCATACAAAGTTTGTGCACACTGTGTTTCACACTAGCCTTCATTCACATGTGTTTCATACACTCATTCTCATTCATTGTGTTTTATAAAATTAATCACCATTGGACTATGCCCACCATTACCCTGAGATTATGTATATTTATACTTTAGGATATAAATACCCAATGTCACTTTATTTATTTTCTTACTCAAATTGTTCTGCTGTTGACAATTTGGAGTGTATTCAGTTGGCTTTTATGTTCTGTTGACTTGTCCCCATCATGGTCGTGTTCTCTGAGCAGTTCTTCACGCCTTGGCACTACGAGATGCTCCAAGTTCATCCTCTGTACTTTCTGCTTCATCTTAGAATCAGCCTTTCCCCTAAAATCCCCATTTCCTTCCACTGGAAAAGGTATTAGAAGTCAAGGTCTAGGTGTTAGGTGTGTTCATTGCTATGAGGATATCTATTTTGTTGTGGTTTTTTTATTTGGTGAGTTTTTTTTTAGTTTGCTTCTGTTTCCTTTGTTCTGTGTTTTGTTAGTTTTTGTAGTTTTGTTTTTCTCGTGACTACCTTCCTTCCGTCTCCCTCAGGTTACCGTTCCCTCACTGGGCTGATCTTTTTTAATACTTCTTCTGAATTCTGGGAAAGCATCTCAAGTTTGACTTCCATATTATTAATGGTTATTTTCCTTGGCATTAACTCTAATCCAAGGAACTCTGCTGGCTGAGTGGGTAAGGAGTTGGCTGCCAACCTAAAGACACTTAGTTCTAATTCACTAGTTGCGTAGAGGGAGAAAGATGGGCAATCTCCTCTTACATAATTTACAGCCTCTGAAAACCTGCTGGAGGGTCAGCTATGACTGAGTTCCGCGTCAACAGCAGCGAGTGCGTGAGTGATCCAAAGCTGGGGCGGTCTGTCTGAATTGGCACATCATTCACACGTATCTCAACAAACTGTTGAGCAAACTAGGTTTCATTCAAAGTGCTGGGGGCCACAAAACTATGGTCGAGACAGAAGCTACCTTTGCCTCCTGGAACTTACATGCTGGTGGGAGGAGACAGACGGTGGACAAATGGAGTAGGAAAAGTCAGCGTTGTGTCAGTGTTCACCAGTGAATTAAGGAAATAGGAACACAAGGGTTGGGATTTCCATTTTAACGAAGAGCAGGTCCCTATGGATGGGGATAACTGGGGAGAGATTTGAGGGGCAGAGAGAAGGAGCCATGCAGGTGTCTGGGGGACTGTTTCCAGAAGAGCAAGCATTCTGTCCTCGGCCCACTCTCTGTGGCTTATGTGATATTGAAATCCTTGCTCAGAACACTGGGGTGTGCAGGACAGTGAAGAAGTCTGGGTCCTAGGTGATTTGGGGCCAGTTCCTGAACTTCTCTGAGCCTCTAGTGCTCCATCTGTGAGATGGGGTTACAGGAGCCCCTTTCCTCCAGGGGCCCTGGGAAGGACTCAGTGAGCCAGGGAAGGTCGAGGCTCTGTGTGAGGCCTGGCCCTGGGTCAACGCACTGGAAAGGCAGCTGCTATTTTCATCATTGTTAATATTAGTCAAAGGCCGGTTCGTGAGCACAGTGCCCAGTTCCATGCTGGTTCCTTGCTGACTTTCAATGAACGACTCTGAGCCACACACAAAGGCTCTTTAAACTTGAAAGCTCAGGGCTCTCCGTGGGGGCTCTGAAGCACAGGAAGCTATTTCAAGTGTCTGCCTTGCATGGGTGGGGGCACCACAAGTGGCAGGAAAATGCCACCACAGCACCAGGCACTTCCTTCACCCATCTGCACCCCCTGGGGCCTCCCCAAAGGGTCAGCTCCCTAATCCTCCTGAATGCTCCAGACCCCACAAGACTTTCTCCCTCAGACTACACAGCCTATACTGGCCGCAGTCAGGAGAGCTTGGCAGGTCCCCCTGCAGCCTGGTGGCCTGTGCCAGCCCTCTCCTCTCTCTGGTCCACTCCTCCACCTGCAGAAGCTCCCAGGGCTGCTGTGAGATGGAAACACAGCATGCAGGTGGTGTTTGCCCCCCCTCTGTTTAAGGTGTTAAACAAATGGCACGCTGCTCCTTTGGCCTCTATATCTCTGGGTCTCAGCCTTCCATCTGTGAAATGGGGGCTTGGAACACAAGCGTCCACACTGCCAAAGCTCTGACTGATGTAACCTGTTCTGACCCAGTCCATCCAAGACAGAAGAGACACAAGAGATCTTATCATCTGGCGTCTCCATGACTATGGCTTTCAGTGTGGGCTTGAGAGGGTGGGATGTGGAAGGAGGAAGGGTACAGCTTTGTCTTATTTGTAGCTGCATCCCTTCATCCCAACAGCCCACAAGACCAATGAGCAAACTAAGCTCAGCTTTCAAGGCTGCTGGAAACTGGCTTCAAACTCTCATTTCCAGTCTTAGCACCCCTCCCAGACACGCAAGCCCTGGATGAGGCGCCCCTGCTGATTCCAGAGCATCAGGGGCAGGGAGGCTGTCCTCTGAGCCTCCTCCCTAGGGGCTTCCCACAGGGCCAGAGCCTGCCTGTTCTCCAGGGCCCAATCAAATGCTACAGCCTCTTTGGAGCCTTGTCTGAAGCCTTCTCCCTCTGCCCAGGTGGGATGAATCACTTCCTCCCTTTGTTCGCAGCGCCCTTTGTTCCTGTCCCCAGAGAGCTCTCGCTGTCTTCCTATCAAGCTGTGAATAACCTCACTACTGGGGCAGAACCGCAGGGTCTGAGGGTACAGGAGAAGACCTAGCACATAAAAGGTGTTTGCCAAATGAAAGGATGAAGGAATGTGAGAGACCTATTTACAAGCAAGGAAACTTGGAGATGAACCTTTCTGACCCCCTGTGATGGTCAGCAGAAGAGGAACAGCATCCAGGGGTTTTGGTCCCAATGATAATACTGTAAACTCAAGACAAAATAGTTCCCATGTGAGTCTTTTTAAAGCAGGGATGGTAAGAACTCTTGCCCCAACTACCTCCCAGGCTAAGCTAGGAGAAAGTCATCATGTAAATGCTAAATAACTGTGTACCTCGCAATCAGACCTTTGGTCAGCACTGGACCACGAAGCAGGCCAAAACCAGAGAAACCAGCACAGGAGTGTCTGTCTCAGCAGAGATGCCAAAGAGGAAACAAAACAGACCCGAGTCCAGATTCTTTCAACATCACAGCACATGGGGAGCCCCAGGGGTGCCCTTAACCCTCCCGTCCGACCCCCAGACCAGAGCCCACTTCCTATACCTTAAGCTTTTTGACACTGGTGCAAGGGTCATTGGAGAAGCTCTCTGTGTCCGAAATCTCAATGTCCTCGCCGTACAGAACTCCAGTCAGGTCGTTCCTCACCTGTTAGCAAAGAGAAAGAGTGGAAGGTGGGCGGGAGACTGTTCGGTCCAGGGGGAAACAGCCCGGATGGGAAAGGAGGTTTACCTACCTGGTTTCTCCATGGCCTGACAACATGAAAGTACTGGTTGAGACCATCCCCCTTCCATCATAACCTAGGATGCCCCCAGGAACCCTGGAGGTCAACTGTTTGCTTCCCTACCCCCCATCCCTATATTAGATATTGGACAACAGGAGGCCAGAGAGGGAAAGGGCTTGCCTAAGGCTGCTGGGAGTTCCTGGATGGTGCAGATGTTTAGTGCACTTGCTGCTAACCAAAAGGCCGGTGGTTCAAGTTTACCCAGAGCTGCCTTGGAAGAATGGTCTGGTGACATAGTTCTAAAATGCCAATTGACCACCCCATGGAGCATAGCCCCACTCTGAGACACATGGGGTTGCCATGACATGAGAGGGACTGGGTAGCAGCTGGTTTAAGGTCACCCAGGAAGTCCCCGAGAGAGGCCAGACTCGTGTCTCCTGACTTTCATGTTGATGCTCCCTCTCTGCTGTCACACAGTCTCCAAACCAGACTATCCAGTAACATCTCCATCTTATATTATCTCATCTTATTCTTTGGTGTCAGCACTGTTTCACTTCCAGGGTGAACAAACAGCCACAACACTGGGCGGCAATGCAGTACAGAGGGAAGAGTGAGGGGGCAGGGGGCCCACCTGTGATGCTGAGCCTATTAGCGCGGCGGCGGCAGCGGGCAGACACACAGAGTAACTCTGAGCTTGAGCAGAGGGCTGCATGCGCCAGCGCTTCCCACGGCAGTGTGGGAAGGAGCCTGAGTGCAAGGCAACCTGATTCATTGTCATGTTTACCACTATTTTGATGAAGGACTGAGAACTAGTTGATTGCAAAAAAGGTGACTTTACCATTGCAATTGATTTATGCCCTCTTGAACCCTTTTCAGATGCTGGTGGGTTCCTGTGGTCACTTTTTTTTCTTTCTAAAAGTCCTTTACTTAGTCATATCAACAAAGAACTCACTAAAACATGAATGGTAGTTTTGAGTCTTCTCTGCTTTTAAACAATTTCACTCACTCATACACTTAACAATACCCTTACCAAGATATCTTTTTTCTTTTTTTATTAATGATTTTTTAAAATGCAGCATATATATTTTTACAGCATATTCTTTCCATTTTTCCCCATTCATTCATTGTTGCACATTTTCCTCCCGCCCACCCCTCCCCCCAGTTTGTTGTGGCTTTGTTCACAATAGCAAAGAGCTGGAAACAACCCAAGTGCCCATCAACAAATGAATGGATAGAGAGGCTCTGGTATATTCACACAGTGGAATACTACGCTGCATTGAAAAATAAAGAACTCATTAAATATTACATAAAATGGGTGACCCTGGAGGACATTATGCTGAGTGAAATATCTCAGTCACAAAAACAAATACTGTATAGTGCCACTGCTGTAAAACAGGGCTGACATCAGGGTTGGGGAAAACCTAAGAAAAGAGGGCATAAATAATGTATACGGCATTGAAACAGATGAGGGAGAGTACTGTTTGTTTAAAAGGAATATAGGATTAGGTATTATTGTCATGACATGAGCCCAGAAAAAGGAATGCATAATATTGTGGGCTGTGGACTCACGGGTGGGGGACTGTATAACAATGAAAGATTTTTCTTTTCCTGTGGTCACTTTTATTGTACCATACTGGGCATGGAAACGGTTCTCAAGGCTCAGTACCTGCAGGAAGGCACTAGTTCAGAACCCAAATCGCTGGTTCTCCACCTACACGTAATTAAGGTTAAGTGGCAAACTCTCAGTCTTCTGGTCTGTAAAATGGTGACAATATAGCATGGCACTCAGGTTGTTCAAGACTCAATAAAAATATTCTGAAAACTCTGAAGTTTCAAATGTTGTTTAAAAGCTGAAATTATCTTCAGGCATCATCAGGCAAAGCCTCAACTGTCAGTGACTTGAAGTATATGTTGTTGTTAGGTGCCATCCATTCAGCTAGGACTCATAGTGACCCTAGAAACAACAGATTTGAGTCTTGTCCTTTCCTGCGCCATTCTCATTATCTCCCACAGGCTCAAGCCCATTGTTGCAGTCACCATGTCAGTCTATCTCGTTGAGGCGCTTTCCATTTCTCTGACTCTCTATCTTTCCCAGAATCATGTCTTTTTCCAACATGCCCAGAGTATGTGAGACGAAGTTTTACCATTCTTGCCTCTAAGGAGCTCCATGGTTGCACTTCTGCCAAGACAGACTGTTTATTCTTTTGGGAGTCCATGGGATAGTCCATCCATGGGATATTTGCCAGGAAGAAACACAAATAAAAACAGCACTGAGAGTCATCTCCTCCTGCCCCTAATTTAACAGATGAGGGCACTGAGGTGGGATCCCGGTGCATGCTCGCCTCGCCTTCCCACGCCAGCACTTCTAAGAGAACCTGGAATCTGCTAAATCCGGACAGCGCTGCAGGCTGAGCCAGGAAAGGTCAGAACAGATGGTTGGCACAATCAGCCACTCACAGCCTGTAATTTCAGCATCGACAAATCTAAATTCAACCTGAGTATTTAGTCTAATGGGCATTTTTAGGGAAAGCAAATGGAGGAAGTCAGTAATAAATGGCAGTTTAAAATCAACAAAGCATGGAAAAGAAAGAGTGGGATTGCTCCTTCTCAGGAAGAAAAGAAAACAAAACAACCCACATCCTTACCATGGAAAAAGGCTCATGGGGGCACTGGTCAAAAAGAGGCCTAGTGAACCAGCAAGGTTTGGAAACACCGGTTTCTCCTCCTAGAAGTCCATAGCGTTCTTATTTCTTGAAACCAATGCCTTTCTTCTAAGGGAGCTCTGGTGGCCTAGTGGAAAGGAGTTGGGCTCATACCCCAAAGGTACTGGTTCAATCCACCAGCTACTCTATAAGAGAAAGATGGGCAATCAAGTCCTATGCAATTAATTGCCTCTGAAAACATGCTGGAGGGTCAGCTATGAGTTGGTTCCAACTGGATGGTACAGGACAACAACAACATGCCTTTCTGTAGCTTACTATGAACACCATTAGTGGAAAATAAATGAATCCTATTGTTCTATTCATGTCCATTTCAGAAGTAGAAATACACTCCCCCCACCCACCTAAAAAGACACACACACACATGAGTCCTTGCTTGGCTTAAATGGTTAACCAAAGTGGAAGCTCAAATTCACCCAGATGTGCCTTGGAAGAAAGGCCTGATAGTCTACATTTGAAAAATCAATTATCAAACACCCTATGCATATGGACAAGAGCCTATGGTGATAAAGGAAGAAGTTCAAGCTGCTTTGAAGGAAATAGCAAAAAATAAGGCCCCAGGAACAGATGGTGTACCAATTGACATATTTCAGCTAACAGATGCTGCCCTGGATGTGCTTACCAAGCTGTGCCAAGAAATCTGGAGAACGACCACTTGGCCAACTGACTGGAAGAGATCTATATTTGTTCCCATCCCAAAGAAAGGTGACCCAACAGAGTGTGGAAACTATAGAACAAAATCATTGATTTCACATGCAAGCAAGATTCTACAGAAGATTATCCAAAAACGACTGGAACAGCACATCACCAGAGAACTGCCAGAAATCCAGGCTGGGTTTAGAAGGGGTCATGGTACTAGGGATATTGTAGCTGATGTTAGATGGATCTTAGCTGAAAGCAGGGAATACCAGAGGAATATATATCTGTGTTTCATTGATTATGCAAAGGCGTTTGACTGTGTGGATCATAACAAACTGTGGCTGACTCTGAGAAGAATGGGAATCCCAGAACACTTGATCGTGCTAATGAGAAATCTATACTTGGACCAAGAGCCAGTCGTCAGAACAGAGCAAGGAAACACTGCATGGTTCAAAATTGGGAAGGGCATACGCCAGTGATGTGTCCTGTCTCCATACCTTTCCAACTTGTATGCAGAACAGATTATCCAGGAGGCTGGGCTCTATGAGGAGAAATGTGGGGTCAAGATTGGTGGAAGATCTATCAACAATCTGCATTGTGCAGATGACACAACCCTGCTTGCTGAAACTGAGGAGGACCTGAAGCGCTTGCTGCTGAGGGTCAGGGACTTCAGCCTTCAGTATGGACTGAGGCTCAATGTCACGAAGATGATTCTCACCACTGGACCAATTGGCAGCATCAGGATGCATGGTGAAGAGATTGAGATTGTTCACAGCTTTAGTCTGCTTGGCTCCACAATAAACACTCTTGGCACCAGGAGCCAGGACATTAAAAGACGTATTGCAATGGGAAAGTTTGCTGATAGGGACCTCTCTAAAGTACTAAAGAGCAACAGTGTGTCTCTGGAGACAAAGGTGCATCTGGTACAGGCCATGGTCTTTGCAATCACTTGTTATGTGTCAGAGAGCCGGACAATGACCAGGGAGGATAGAAGGAGAACTAAGCTTTGGTGTTGGAGAAGAGTGCTGAGGGTGCCATGGACTGCTAAGAAAACAAACAGATTCATCCTGGAGAGGATTAAACCGGGCTGCTCCTTGGAGGCAAGGATTCTGAGATTTCGTCTGACATACTTTGGTCATGCTATAAGGAGGGACCGGTCCTTGGAGAAAGAAATCATGCTTGGGAGGGTGGAGGGCGCTCTGGGAGGTGGACTGATTTGGTGATTGGGGTAATCAGGATGGTGTGTTGGAGACAGTGCAGTTGGCACAGGACAGAGCAGAGTTTAGAGCTGTTGTACATAGGGTCGCTATGAGTCACAAGCGACTCGACAGGACATAACAACAACAACAACTATGAAGCAGAGATCTTCTGTGACATACATGGGGTCACCATGTGTTAGAATCAACCCAACAGTGACTGGTTTACTGGTACGTAAACATCCGTCAATCTAACCATTCATTCCCCTCCCCCATGGCCAGCACACTGGGCTTCCTCAGGCTGTTTGCCTCACCACACCAGGACTGTGACTTAGTGAGAGGCCCTGGACATGCCGAGACGATGAGGAG